AAACTCCAATACTTTGGCCACCTCATGCGAAGAGTTGACTCATTGGAAAAGACCCTGATGCTGGGAGGGACTGGTGGCAGGAGGAGAAGGGGACGACAGAGGATGAGATTGCTAGATGGCATCACCGACTCGATGGGCATGATTTTGAGTAAACTCCAGGAGTTGGTGATGGACAGGGAGGCCTGGCATGCTGCGATTCATGGGGTCGCAAAGAGTCGGACACGACTGAGCAACTGAACTGAACTGAACTGAGGATGCTAAAATAATAGAAGTCTTAAATCATAATAAAATAATTAGAAGTCTTAATCATAAGAAAAAAGAGATAAAATATAGCTAGACTAATTGTGATTATCACAATGTATACAATGTATACACCTCGTATGCATTCACAATGTATACAAATAACAAGTCATTATGTTGTACACCTGAAATCCACATAATGTTAGAGGTCAATTATACCTCAATAAAAAATAAATTCACCACTGTCTCCCATTCTTTTCTATACTGAATCCCAGATACTTGTCTAGATAAGGAATTCAAATTTAATGGACAGCAGAACTAGAATTCTCAACTGATCATAAAGATTCATCTGTCCCAGGACCAGAAAACTTAGGGGATGGGTAGGATTCCCATGACTTGGGAGTCAAATATAAAGAATGTGACTTGGGCTTAACTTGGTGGTACTGTTTATACTCCGGAGTCCCCCATGGACTCCAGCTAAGACTACCTCTTTGCTTTACAAGTAAAACTTCTATGAATATTAAAAAATAAAAAAACGTAAATGTGACTGCTCCATGGGGGCATGAGTGTCTGAAAGCCAGGGTAGGAGTCTTAACTCCTAATAGCCAAGAATCTCCCCCAACCCACAACAAAGAAAAAAAGAAAGAAGACTGAGAATCAGAGACTAGGAGGTACCTTTTTTGTCCTGTTCATCATTAGATCTTTAGGGTTCAGCATAGCACCTGACATATAGATGAATAAAGCTTTGCTGATGGAAGAATTACAGATCTCCAGCCCAGTAGGTGAGCCGGCATAGATACTCTGGGTTAGCGTCTGAGCAGCTGGGGTGAGGAAGACAGGCTTCGTGCCTTGTGTGCTGCAGCAGTTCTTGCCCTGGAGACTCACCCCCTTACAACCTAGGTTTTAATCTTTGCTATTTTCTTTGGGCAATGGGAAGTTATTCATTTTTCTTAGGTTACTAGTGAATACGGTATCTTAAGCGGAAAAAGTGAACTGCCACACCCAGATCAAGGCAGTTGGGTAATCACAATTTCTTCATAATAAAATGAATTTAGACTATAAAATCTCCAAGATTCCTGCCAGCCCCAAAGTTCTATAATTAAATTGACTAAAAGTTAAGAAGGGAAATAGGACATTCATTCAACAAATATGTACTACTATGTGCTGAAAACAAGGGATAAAAATATCATTAAGGTGGTCTGTCCTGGAAGCCTGTAAAGCCAACTGAGAAAATAAACACTAAATCCTTAAAACACTGTGTAAGCTTCATGAGGTAACATTTCCTGAGCACTTACTATATGGCAGTACTGTTCTGAGCCCTTTACAATTTAACCTCATAATTCTATTAGATAGGTACTATTATTATCCCCATTCCTCAGTTAAAGAAACTGAGACATAAAGAGTTAAATAACTTACCAGTAAATGGCAGAGCAAGTTATCTGTATTCAGAGCCCGTATTCAACCATATGCCAATTAGCTGGATTGCCATGATATGAGACCCAGGAGTGTCATGGATGAGGGCACTCAGACCCTTTCCCTACAAGTTCCTAGAGATTTTGTGACACTAAGAGGGTTTTGATTACATTTTCTTTGGCCCTTGGTGAGGTCTCCATCAACTTAACAGACAACTTTGAGAAAAACCATCTCCTCAGAGTCCACAGAGAGCTGGGTTCAAATTGTAGGTTTACCACTTTACTGGTGAACTTGACCAAATCTAATTCTCATTTGCTTAATGAGAGTAACCGTGCTTCACTGGGAGGTCAGGAGGATTAAATATTAAGTCAAGCCATATGAAATGGTTGTTTCTGGAGGTTAAAAATAGCGGTGGAATCTACCAAAATAGTTAGCTTTCCTTTGTGCTTCTCCTAGCCCATCTAGGGCACTCTCCCGCTCCACTCTTTGGGTGGCCCTGGGGATTCGTTAAGTTGCACACTGTTGACCTACCCTGTGAAAGCTAGTAAATTAGCCTTGGGACAGCCTCGGGAGATTTGGCAATTACTACAAGGATCTAGAGCTACTTTCCAGCCAGCCAAAAGCACATCCCTTGGGGATCAGAGAAGTCAAGAACCATGACAGTCCTGTGCCCCGACACAAACTCAGCACACTTTCGCTTTTCTTCCCAAGTCCTATTGTGTCCTTGTTTATCGCTATAGGACAGATACTGATGTTGGTTGCATTTTGAAACGTGGGAACTGAGGCTTAGAGAGGGTCAGGCCTCATCCAAGGTCTCAGGCATTGCACAGTGCTGGCAATAACGAGGGTTTGGCGTTAGATCTATCAGCCAAGGAACTGCCTCTAGTTGTGTGACCTCCACAAGGTCCTCGAACCTTTCTCTCCGACTGTTTCATCTTCTGGAGAAGGGCGCTATTACCTCCCTTTCTCCTACCGCTCGCTTTCCGATTCAATCCAGCCTTTGGGGCGCTCCCGCTGTGGCAAGAGGACCAGTGCAGAGACACTGCGGAGAGAGCGCAGGCATCAGAGCTTTGAGTCTGCGGACGCACACCCGCAGCTCCCTGGAAATACCGGTGTTTACTTTCGACCAGAGACAGAACTTGGCTTGACATCACCAGGTTCAGGCCGACTGCGAGAGGCGAACAAGTGCCAGAACAGAGGAACTGAAACAACCCAGCCGCCGGAAAGGCCGACAGTTGAGCCAATCCCACAGCAGGCGGGGCCAGNGGGGGGGGGGGGGGGGGTACGGCCCTCGCCTGCGCGCCGCCATCTTGCTCCAGGAGGGACCGCCTCCCTCCCGTCTGGCGGCTGGTTAGCCAGAAGGCGGGGCTTCGCGACTCCGCGGGGCGTGGCCGGGCGATGGCGACCGCGGATCCCGACGGGCATGCTGCGCGCTCTATCCCGGGACCCCGGCCCAGCGGGACGGGAGCTGCGGGGCTGCCCTCCGGGCGAAGCGGCATTGGAGCTCCCCGGTTGGGGGAGCGGATCCCGGCGGCCGTGGAGAAGCGGGGCCCGTACATGGTTGCGCGCGCGCCTTCCATTCAGGCCAAGCTGCGTGAGTGCGGCCCGATGAGGGGGTCCCTGCTTGGGCGGGCTGCCGCGTTCCCGGGCTGGCTCCGGAGCGCCGCTGGGGCGACCCCGGAGGGGCAACTGCAGCCCGCTCCCGCACCCGAAAATCTGTTCGGAGAGCGGGCTCCTGGCGTTTGGGAGACACGGCGGAGTAGGGATGACCCCGCTGATCTGGGCCCTTTGACTTCCAGAGAAGCACCGGGACCTGGCCAAGGCGGTTCTGCGGAGAAAAGGCATGCTGGGGGCCGCGCCGAACCGCCCCGACTCTTCAGGGAAAAGGTCTCAGCAGGCGCCACCTCCTCCGTGCAAGCGTTTTCAGAGTAGGCCATAGTACTCAGGCTGGGAAACCGAGTACCCACGTTTAAAGCCGAGCTAGTCATTCCCCTGACGCCGGCCTGTCGGGTTCATGTTTAAAAATGAAAGAGGAACGACCTTTTCTTTCCTTTCCAGGATGTGATGTTGTCAAGGAAAGAGCTTTGCTATGAGTTTTGTCAGTTCGTAGGGTCAATCACTGTCTAAATTAGGGAGGAGCATGGTGGCTGGGATCCCCAGGACTGAGGATGGAGAGCAGTGTGGGAACAGCTAGGACTGTGATTTTTCCTTAACAGAACGGTAAGCGCTGAGGGCTGGATCGGACCTTCACCAGGGCTTGAGCTAAAGCAGGTGAAGGAATTTGCCTAAGGGCTTTGATTTTTCTGTTCTCAGGTTAAATAAGGTGGGGAGATGGGGCTTTTCCTGATTCTTAAAAGAGGTGTGCTTATCCTCAGAAGCAGCAGGGGGAGCGGTGAGGGGAAGTACACATACTAAGGAGCTGTAGCCGGATACATGGCAGGCAGTGGTGGCTGTCCAGATAGAAGATAAGTCAGGAGTAGTGCAGTCAGTTGTTTTGTTTTGGTTTGGTTTGTTTCTGCATAAGGGCAAGGACGCTGTCTTTCCCTGTGAAATGCTGGCGTTTCATCTATGCTTGGTCTCTCCCCTGTCTCCCCTTAGGTCAGTGAAGTTTAACAAGGGCTACACTGCTCTTAGTCAGAGTCCAGATGAAAATTTGGTGTCCCTTGACTCTGACAGGTAAGTGCTGTCCTTGGAAATACCCCTTGGGGAGTGCCTTGGATAAAATTGCCGACAACTTGCTTCGCTTTTTCCCTGTCTCTTCCAAGACCTTTTGTGCATGTTCCAGGGCTGCTGCTTCAGAGCACTGTCCCTTCCGGGATGGCTTGCTTAGAGGACTCATAGGTGACCTTGCTGCTCTTGGATGTGAAGTACCAACCTTGTCATCCTGCCCTATTATGTCTGCATTATTAGTGACAGTGACTCTGTCCCTGCTGGAGCCAAGAAGGAGCCATTGATACTCATGGCAGATTATGGGTTTGAGTTCTGTGGTGTGTGGTCTTTGCTTCACAAGTCCTCCAGACCCCCTTGCATGTTGTGCACCTTGCCACTTGTAGCTGTGCTCCGCAGGCATCTCCCTGAACTGACTGTCTTCCTCTTGTCCTAGTGATGGAGAGCTGGAATCCAGATACTCCTCCGGGTATTCCTCTGCAGAGGCAAGTCAAGAGCACTTTTCTGTGGTGGGGCCAGGCTGCATAGCCACTGCCAAACACTTGTCTGGTTCCTGCTATATGCATGGCACTGTACCAGACTTCCCTTGTGTTCTCCAGTCTTCTACTCTACCCTATTCCCCTAGCAGAAGTTAAGGTATCTGAAGTGGACTGTCAAAAGTCCAGGAGACTATGTGTGTGCTGCATGCTAAGTCAATTCAATCATGTCTGCCTCTTTGCGACCCTATGGATTATAGCCCACTGGGCTCCTCTGTCCATGGGATTCTCCAGGCAAGAATACTGCAATCGGTTGCCATGCCCTCCTCCAGGGGATCTTCCCGACCCAGGGATTGAATCAGAGTCTCTTATGTCTCCTGCATTGGCAGGCAGGTTCTTTACCACTAGTGTCACCGAGGAAGCCCCCAGGAGACCCCAGACCTTTTTTTTTTTTTTGGCATATAGGATTTTCATTCCCCAACCAGGGATCAAACTCACACACCCTGCATTGGAAGTGTAGAGTCTTAACCACTGGACTGACCACCAGGGAAATCCCCAGAGACTCTTAGGGCTGGAAATGACCTCACAAGTCTTCTAATCCAGGCCACCATTTAGAAAAGGAATCCTCTCGATAAATTCCAGCTAAATGCTTATTTGAATGCTGCTTGTAACTGGGTACTCACTATCTCCAAGAAACCTTGCTTCCTGTCTTCCCCTGCAACACACACAATTCAGATAGTTCATAGAGAGGTCTTCCTTGTTAATTGGAAAAGTCTCCTGCAGCTTGGACTTAGTGGTCTTAGTCCTGTCTCCAGTGACAGAGAATTCTACTCTGCCTTCTTTTGATCATCTTTTACCTGAGATCAGCATTTCTGTCCCTCCCCTTTCTATCCTCCAAGCTTGGTTACTTCCAGGCTGGACATATTCTGTTCTTTGCTTTGTTCCATCTGTGGGAACTGTGACTGAGAAAGATACTCCTGGGCTGTACTTTTGAACATGTTTCCAAAGTGACTGTCCAGACTAAAACAGGGACAAAAGGTTCTGGCATCTGTGGCTTACTGCTTTTGACAGATGTGAAGTGCTGGGGACCTGACTGTATACCACTGGTATTTCTTCCTCATGCTCCTGGAAACCCTTGACCACCCCCTGCGTTTCTGCCAGAGAATACAGTTTGCAGATTGTATCCTCCTTGAATATTTAGGTGCCTAAGATTGTTAGAACAAAGAAAAGAAAAATAAGCCAAGAGCCAGAGAAGTCCTACACTCCCCAGTCTCATTTGCCTTCTGCTCAGTGGAACTGGTGAAGCCAGGCTGACAGGTTCTACTTTGCAAGGAATGAGCTCTGTTGACATCAAAGAGTAACATTGGCAGTGCAGAAGAAGCTGTTCCCCACCCTATTCTACTCTAACCCATCTTCCTCCACCCTTCTACCCCATTGTGCTGGTACCATTGTTCCATACTCCTCAGCCTTCACAGGAACCAATCTGGATTCACAGTGGTAATGGTCAGGGCTTGACTTTCAGACATAATCCCGAATCTCATATTTGTATCACCTGCCTTGGGATTCTTTGGTGAGGGCAGCTTCCCTGGGGGCACATGACAGCACAGCCTGGACAGTCCTGGCTCAGGTTCCTGGATGTTCCCCACCCCCTGTTGGGTGAGGCACAGGTAGGAAAAGGTAGCACTTCTTCCTGTAGTCCAGGGATGTGCAGGCCTGGCCTGAGGGTGGAGCACGGACAGGAGGGAAATGGACGGTGAGGAAATGTGGGTCTGCTTTTGGGGCAGCAGTTATTTCTGCCTTGTGGCCTTGCTTATAGTTCTCTCCTCTCCTGCTCTTAGCAGGTGAACCAGGATGTGAGCCGACAGCTGCTCCAGGACGGGTATCACTTGGATGAGATTCCAGATGATGAGGACTTGGACCTAATTCCCCCCAAGCCTATGACCTCAACGTGCTGCTGGTGCTGTCTTGGGGCCTCTTCGTCCTGTACCCTCCAGTAGACATAACCCTCTAGGACAGGTCCTGCTCACCATGCCTGCAGAGTCCTATTGACCCTGCGTTGGTCACAGAGTGCAGTGGGAACCCACTGCTGTCAACCCCAGGATCACTGGAGACACTGACCCTCTGGGAAAGGCAGTGACCGCAGTTACCCCAAACCTGGTGCTTCTCAGACCAGAGGCCCCCATCTGGGTCACAGGGTGACAGGTGGAGTTCTGCAGTTCTCCTCTGCTGCTGGAGTAGCATTTGGAGAAACCGCTTTAATAAGGGCAGGAACATAGGAATTCTGTTTCTTACGCTGAGTGACAAAATTGGCGAAGAGAGAAACTTACAGACGTCTTGGTTGGTATTTGTCATGATGCTCTGTGGAGGGAAAATGGGAGCTTTTGTGCCCAGGCTGTGTTGGCTGGTGTTGCATGGAGGCAGAAAATAGCACTTTATGGCTTGCAGCTGGGAGTCTGTGAAAAAGAATTTAACTCTCTGGGGCCAGTTCAGTTCAGGAAATTCAATATTCTTTTCTCTTCCAAGCTCCAAGATGGGTTATATGTTTGTCGGTTGTTCTTATATGACTGTGGCAGAGAGTACAACAGGTTGCTTGGTGGCACAGCCTGATCAAGGCTTCCAGAATCCTTGGAAGCTGAGCATTCCCAACTGGTCCACATGTCTGCATGAGCTTGGTAACGTGGTCATTCCACCCCTAGTTAGAGAAAAACTGCTCTACCGGGTAGACAAAATTTCTTTCCTTGGTTGCCATTCTTCACCTTGGTCTTAGCTAGTATCTTTATCCAGTCTTTGATCTAAGGTTGAATGAAAGTTCTGGAGCTTGCCACAGAAGCCTGCCGTTTTTGGTTACCAGCAGAGGGAGCTACAGGAGCAGTTAGGTGCCTTCCCATTTGGATTTTTTTTGGTTTGTGAGATCTCAGTGCCCCAACCAGGGAGGGGTGGAACTCAGGCCCCTGAAGTGGAAGTTCAGAATCCTGACCACTGGACTACCAGGGAATTCCCTCATTTGTTTAACATTTTACACTTGAGGAGCAGCAATGGGTGAGATGTATAGTGCACAGCTGTGTGGGCCCTGACAGAGGCTGATAGGATGAGGAGGAGGGGCCTGTGAAAGCTCCCCAGCTATCCCCCCCACCCCAACCGAAGGAGATCATCTTGCCATTGCAGAGGGCCTCCCTCCACCCTAGTGAGAGCCATTGTGTTGCATCCAGATTCCTCTGACCACAGTGGATACTGAGGATTGGGCTTCACAGTCAGCCCCTAGTTTGAACATAGCAAGGACAGGCGTAATCTCCCCTGTGACCCCTACTAGATTGCATCTCTTGCTGTACCAGGCCTCTCTGTGGAATTTTTCAGTGGTTCCTTTTTTTTTTCCTTACCCAAAACCAGATGGAACTGAATGGGAGTGGAGAGGGGTAGGGTAGTCAGGATTGAGGTGTGGTCCCGACTTGGGAACTTGCCCACCCTCTTGCTTCATTTCGTTGGGACAGAATGTTGACAGCTGCTGGGGGTGAGGATGGCAGTGGGCCCCCAATACCAAGGCCCTCCAGTGGCTGTTGTTATAAAGCCACACTGGTGTATTTGGCTACACCTCTCCCTGGAATGTTTCAGGGCTGGTTAACCATCTGTGGGAGGCATTACCTTTGCAGGAAAAGTTGCAGGAATGTCATATAGCAAGGCAGGGTACAAATGGTCAATTGCTTGGGGCTAAGAAGCCATGGGCTAGAAAGTCACCAATAAAAGCACCAAGGTGTCTAGAACCAAACTGCCTTAATAATAAGAGTACTGGGGTATTGTGCAAGTGACAGCACTCTGGGGAGACGGCTTACCTCACAGATGGGAGTGGTACTGTATGGCGTTTACAGAACTCTTGGCTTAGGCTTCTACAGCTTTGTAAGTTTGTAGAAATAAATACAGTCATCTGTTGAACTGTCTCTGTTGCAACAGGATTTTTAAGAAAAGCCTAGACCATGGTCATTGCCCCTTCTGAATTCTGAAATGAAGAAGTAGCCTAACAGCCCTAACTATGACCATTCTGCCATGGGCCACCCCTCCTTTCTTCTGTTCCCAGTGGGTGCCATTTTCAGTCCTCATTGGAGACCAACCACGGATGGAATCATTTAGTCACTAAGTCATGTCTGTTTTGTGACCCCATGGACTATAGCCTGCCAGGCTGCTCTGTCCATGGAATTTCCCAGGCAAGAAGACTGGAGTGGTTTGCCATTTCCTTCTCCAGTGGATCTTCCCAACCCAGGGGTTGAACCCACGTCTCCTGCATTGGCAGGTGCATTCTTTATCACCGAGCCACCAGAAAAGCATGGACAGAACAGGCCTTGCATATCACTTCTCTTTAGAATGAGTTCCCTTTGGCAGACCCTTCTCAGGTTTTTTTGTTTTTGGCTACCTGTCCCATAGACGCCTCTGCCTACCTCAGGGTGCTGTCTGAAACTGGAACAAAGCAAAAACTGGACAACATCCAGGGAGGGCTCCTTCAGCCCACTTCAGGGACTGGAATGGCAAAGGCTGAGTGCTCTTTAGCCCACAGACCTCAACACAAGTGATCTTTAATTGCTTTAACAGAGCAGCATCAGGCCACAGGGCTATCCTTTTCCCTCTGCACTGCGGAACCCTATATTTTTACAGATTAATTACCTATCATGCTGTGACTGCTGCTGAGCTAATCCTAGATCTCACCAGTCTGCCTAATGCCATAGGCTGGGACAGGGCTGCTGTTCTCCTTGAGCTCTGAGAAGAGCCTGGCTCCAGTGTGGCGAGATCCAAGGGGAAGTATCAGCTCTCAGTCCTCACATGGGCCCCTCCTACCAGGAAGAAGAAGGCTGTTCAGCCTCTGCCTGCTCAGGAGTCACCACCTTCAAGCTCTTCTCCCTGAGTCTTTCAGGGTGTACCCGAAGAGCCCAGAGCAGGGAAGGGATCTGGGCTGGGTCTGCGGAGCTGAGGCTGGCCAGGATGTAGGATGACTGGCAGAGGAGAGCCAGGAAGGCTGTGGCCTCTATAGCAGGCAGCAGGCACGGAACATCAGCAGGTCCTTAGGCACAGTGAGCTTCAGTGAGACACTCTCGTTGGCCCCAATGAAGAGCACCCCGCCACGTTTCAGGGGGATTGTTGCCTGGGCTGTGGGAGTGCTGGCTGTCACTGTCCCCTGCACCACCAGGAGGATGCTGGCAGAGTCCAGGGCCAAGACTTTGTATTCAGTGACAGAGCCAGGTACCTGGGCAGGAAGAAACAACACGATGGAGCAGGGTCTGAGCTGCTGTTAGCTCACAGGGGTCCTGGGACCACCCCGAGGGCAGTGAGAGGGAGAGCTCTGCTTCCCCCTCTCCCAGTGCTCAGGCTTTCATCAGCACAGAGGCCCCTGTCTGGTCGCTGTAACAGAGAGGCACAGGCAGGCCCTGTGGCAGCTTCCCCACCATGTGAGCTTGGCAGAAAGGAAACCCAGCCCCAGGTACACCCCACACTGGCCTTGCCAGGGTTGTGCTACATGCCACACAAGAAATACCACTGCCCTCACTCACCTCCATCTTCAAAACAGTGAAGTCTGGCACAGGGGGATTGTAGATAGAGAGGTAGGGGTCTTCCGGGCTCCGTGCTGGAGGGAAGAGCCTGTCCTGGCTGGGGCTGGGGGTGTAGCTGAGCATTTCACACAGAGTTGGCACATCGATGAACTTGGGTGTCAGGCCAGCACGCACTGTGTTGTCTGAACATGCCATGCACTCCACGCAGTCTGGGGACAGACAGTTGGCATGTGCTAAGGGTGCCTTGGAGTTTGACTCTCCAGGGTTGGGCTTTCTAACCTGAGTGCCATGAGCTCCCAGCAGCATTACATGAAACTGTGTGAACAGCATCTTCTGTGAGAATGGGCTAAGATAACAGACACCAAAAACAGGTGATGTCACCCACCACTCTCAAGGGAAGTCATGTTAACCCCTGGGGGAGCTCCAACCCTCTGGAAACACTGTATTCACCCCTTCTACTAAAGAATCCTGTCCAAAAGTGGATAAACAGCCAACCGTCAGTGTGATAGCCTTCTGCGGCAATGTCTTTTTTAACATAAAATCTCTGTAGATGCGACAGACATGTGAAGGCACTGTGATGCAGGGGAGAGAACAATGGCCTTGATCCAATATAGGCTTGGATTCAAACTGTGGTTGGCACACATATTGACAAGGCTTAATGTGAGGGTGTCCTGAGCTCACGGGTGGTGTGAGGATCCAACCAGTGTTCAGCACCAAGCTGGCATTCATCACCCAACTGGTCACTTCCCTGCTGATCCCAGGAGCCCTGGGAGATCAGAGGTGGATGGAACTTTAAAGGTGATCTCCTCTACCACCACCTCCTGTTCTGTCCAGATGGAGAAACAAGGCCTGAGGGGGTGGGCCGTGGGGCTCACTGCTGAAATGCGGCTCACCTCCTTTCAGGTAGGCGTGGGGCACGTTGGCCTCCAGAAACATGGCCTCCCCTGGCTTCAGGGTAAGCAGATTCAGGAAGTAGATGGCAAAGCATCCGATATCACCCGGGTACTGCTGGTGCAGCTGCAGCAGGAGCTCCCCACAGATGTCCTCCATGTTGTTTCCAGCAGCCACTGAGGGTCACAGAGCACCCCAAGGCTACTCAGTAACCCTTGAGGGTATTCACAACTCCCCACCCCACCCCCTGGCCAGAGAGTCCTAGAGAAGACCCTAGTCCAGGAATCCAGGAACGGGTGGGCATGTTCTCCTGGTCACATCCCCCACCCTGTGGGGGCCAGCCTTCCTTGCTATTCCAGTCTACACAGATGCCATTTTCCCCATTTTGACTATTGAAATGCCCACCCCTCTTACCGGGCACTAAAAGGGCTAGAGTGTAGTCCTTTTAGACAGTGCTTCTCAGCCTCAGCATTACTGACATTCGAGGCCAGGTAATTCTGTTGTGGGGGCTGTCCTATGTACTATAGGATGTCTAGTAGCATCCCTGGCCCCCACCTACGAAACACCACTAGCACCCCAAACCTGGGTTTGACAACCAAAATGCCTCCACACTGCCAGTGCCCCCTGGTTGAGACGACTGCTCTAGGAGCTTAAAATCTAGTTAGGAGAGGACCCAAGGGTTCCTCGTGGGATGACCAACTGTCCCAGTTAGCCCAGGCCTTTCCCTTTAACACTGATAATCTCTCAGTCCCAGGCAAACAGTGGTGGTTGGTCATCCCAGAGAGCATGAGGCAGGATGCAACCAAGGGCCGGAATGTGTCCCAGGCTGACCAGGGGAGAATGAGCTCAGCCTGAGCTAGAGTGGGGAGGGAAGCCTTGGTGGGCATTGTGGAGAGGAGGGGAGGGTGGTGAGCTGGGTTTCCTTAACTGTGAGTGTGGTGGGGGTGTCTCTAAAAGCAGAGTGGAGAAGGAGCTGGACCTCATCATGTGTGCCATATAAGCTCCTAGCAGAGTCCATTCTGCCTTGCTCTTTACTGCTTGTATTAACTCTCAAACCCAAAGTTGACACAACCACACCCATCAAAGTCATTTCCTGAACTCTAATTAGCACAAGGTTGGGCCCAGAGCAGGTATACAAGGAAAGACCTACTGACTGAGAGCTCAGGACCTCAAGTTTTTGGGTCCTTTTATCTCCCTCCTGTTCTCCAGCCCCAAAGTATGAAACCCTTTGGACAGCAGCTCTAGGGCTGAGAAATCTCAGAATGCCCAGGTGACAGACATCCTAGTACTTTTCCAGGCCAGCCTGTCTCCACCCATCTAAAGGAGATAACCAGTTAGGAAGCAGCAGGGCCCTATTCCATAAAGACTGGGAAAGAAATGCTACGTTGCTGACAGGCCATCTAAGTCAGACCCATTTTGGTGTTCCACGTGAGCAAAGGGGTTGAGAATCCAATTCCTACAGCCTAGTGACTGTGCCAGGGGCCCAGGAAAGGGCACTGCGTTCAGGCCTAAGACACCCACCTTGCTGCGAGATCCGCTTCACCAGCAGGTTCAGCTGTTCCACCACCACCTTCTTCTCGCTCTTCATCAGGTGGGAGAAACAGCTCCGCAGAGCAGAGGTCACAGCCTCGGGATCCTGGCTCAGGCTCTGCTTCAGTTGTGCTGCTGCACTGTCTCCAATTAGAAACTGGAATTCCGGCACCTCTGCAGGAAAGTCAGGCCAGGAATGGTTAAGATGGAACCCGCAAACGGTGGAAAGCTGAAGGAGGCCTCCCTGTCTCATCCCTAACCAAGGAGCCAGGCAATGCTATGTAAGTTTTGCAGTGAAAATTTACTGCTCATGACCAGCCCTCAGCAACCACACCTGAGCCTGGTCTCATGAGCCTCCCCCAGGAACATCAAGAATTCATGAGGCCATGGGACTTCCCTGGTGGTCCAGTGGTTAAGAATCTGCCTTGCAATGCAGGGGATGCAGGTCCAATACCTGGTTGGGGAACCAAGATCCCACATACCACAGAGCAATTAAGCCTGAGCACTGCAACTACTGAGCCTGAGCACCCTGGAGCCTGTATGCCACAGACTAGAGCGTCCGTGCAACGTAATGAAAGCTTCCACTTGAAGCAGTGATGATCCCGCCTGCCACAATAAAGACCTGATGTAGCCAAATACATATATAAATCATTTTTTAAAAATGCATGAGGCCAACCAGCCCTTCAGTTCCTGGGACACTCAGCCTCTGTCCTCAGCCTCCAGCTCTGCCCCGGGTTGCCCTTGCATCCTAGGTCCAGTATGCAGGCTCTTAGCATTTTGCCCAACCTTACTTGTTAGAAAGATCACAATTTCCTCAACTGGCCGGAAGCCACATAAGCCCTGGAAGGGGGTGAGAGCAATTGCCATCTCTGGCTTATGGTTGGCATCGGGGTAGTGCTGTGGAGCCTGGAGGTGCAGCTTCTCTGCCAGCTCCTGTGGGATGGGCAAGGGAAAGGACGATGGTTAGGTGCAGCCATCAC